GAAATAGACCACAAACATTTGACCGTATGATATTAGCCTGACATTCAACAGAACACTGTGGAAAATGTTTAAACGGTTTTTGTAGGTGTGTTGTCAAAAGTAAAAATATTAATTTTTCAGGAGAGTAATGATTTTTTCGAATTCTCAGATACTTGAGAATTAGATCAAATTGCGAGTAAAATTCTTCGAAAAATGGAGGTTAAAATACTTATGAGTTTCCCTTGATACTCGTGTGAAAAACAGGAAACGTTACCCTAGGCTCATACGTCGTTTCTCCATAAAACTCGAAAAAAATATGCAATTTAATGCATGACTTGCCAACCGTGCCAAAAACCGCGACTAGCGCGCACGATCTCGCAGGCGCCAGACGCCCTCCAACGTTGCAAAATCGCGCGTTTCATTCGGGTGGATTTGAATTGGATGCGGGATTACCGCCGCGATGAACAAAACTTTGGAAGTTCGTAGGGATTGCCATTGTAGTTAGGCGGTTCTTGACTTGAGAGGAAGGTTCAATGGGAGATTCGGGAGATTTTGCAACGGCGCACAGCTCAGTCATCGCTTCAGAGGCCGCTCTTTACATTGATGCCAGTTTTAATTGTATTTATGATTTATTTTTTGAATTTTATGAAAGTGTAATCCATCAAGTAGGGTCAGCTAATTTCTTATTCACTTTTGTGACATTTCAATAGATTATCAAAGGGTCATAAAACACATCGAAGCATCGCATCGCAGGACATCCTATTTCACGGGGAATATTATGAGCATGCTGAAAATTTTCAGAATTACATCGTGAGGGGGCGTTCATAAATTACGAGAGGCGCTGTTTTGACATTTTTGACCCCCCCCCCCCCTTCCGACTTGTAACGCTCCGTAACGCAAACGTAGACCCCCCTTTAATAAGTGATTAACGTTTGATGGACACCCCTCATTAATATTCCCAAAATCCGCGGGATACTGTTGAATACCTGTAGCCAGACAAAACTTGAAGTAATGGTAATGTGACTAGGGGGTCCGTCCTCTGGCCACTACGCGATCCAACCCCCGGGGCGCTGCCCCCCCCCCCCTAAAGGCCGCTTCTTGCTATTCTTACTCTCCTTCCTCACCTCGTCCGTCGAGCGACTTAAAAAAGAGGGGATATGATAGTCAGCGACGTATAAGGATGCGTATTTTAAATGACAAATAAAGTAAAAAAAAATGGGGATAATACATGCATTTTGTTGATTGGTTGGTATATTGGTTTCTTTATCAAAAGTGAGGGGTACGTAACGCTGGCACTAAATCGACCCCTCTCCTCCTCCATGTAACGCAGCATAATGCAGGCTCATACCCCCTCTGATTGATTTGAAATAGGTATTAGTACAATCTGAATTGAAAATGCTTCTGTCACAACCAGACAAAGGGCGGAGTCTATAGTTGGCACTAGACAGGGCCAAATGTTTTAAAAAGGGAGGGCATGAATAAGGGAACCGGGGATGGATTTGAGACCTGAAAAATATAGTGAAACTTTAGAAGAATGTTTCAAGTTACAATAAAAGTCACGCTTAGAATTAAAATGTCGAGAGGACGGAGATAGCGTACCTTTACAGGGTGTTCGAAAAGTCTTCTCCCCCCCCCCTCTAACTTTTGACCTAATTGAGGTAGAGATTTGAAACTTGCAGGATGCTCCTTGTTAGAAGAGAGCTACTTTTTGAGCCCTTAAATTTTCGGGGGCTCCCCTTGGGGGAAGGGGGGGGGCAGATCCCAACTTTTTTCTCAAATAAGAAGACCCCCTTGGTGAAACCTCGTTCGAAAGAGCCAAAAAAAAAGAACATTTTTCGCGCAAACCGAAAGTCAATATCGCAAACCGTTTCAAAATGGCGGCCGGTTAAAGATGGCCGAAAATTGACACATGAAAGGGAAATAATTGTGTAAATTTTAATATTGCACATATAACTCAGTATTTTTTAAAGGAAAAAAAGAGGTTGCACGATTTTGAAAAGAATGCAATCACGCTGGTTCCTTTTTGAAAAATGCGATCCAAATTTCGGTTTTCGCGAGACTAAACTCTGCCTAAAATGGGAGGACACGATTTCTGGTCCGTCTAACCGAATCGTTCAATCATGTAAGACTGATTTATTTCCAATAAACATAAACAAAGTCCGTGCGGGGGGGGGGCGAGGGATCTATAGGTGTATTTAACAAAAAGAAGAAAAAAAGTATAAATAATTGTAGGATCGACACTTTTGTTTAAGTACATATGAACTGAAGTTCTCCGGGTACTCCTCATAGCATTTCCGAAGGGAACTTGAAAGTAGAACGTTGTTTCCGGAAAAACTTTACAACGAGATATGATGGTAAGCCCTATTTTTTCCGTGCTATTGTGCAACACTGCATCGGGCGTCGAACGAATGTACGTTACTTCCCATTTTTGATCGTGAGCACGCGAATCACAAGGAAGCGGAAAAAATTTAAATCAACGCGTATGCGCAGTGTCTCATCTGAACGCGATAGTAGACAATGGAAACTTTGTTCATGGCTGATTCGAGGGGGAAAAAAATTAATTATAATCCTCCCATGACTCATCTGATATCTCATCTGATACAATGCAGAACATAAGGTCATTTTGACTGTTAAGTATCTTTTTCATTCACAAACGCATAAGAAAGATGAAGTTATACGATTGGAAAGAATGTTATGGAGGGGTCGGGGGGTTACGCCCCCCCCCCTTCGTTTGAAAAAAAAGAGGAAGAGAAAGAGAGGAACGAAGGAACATGGGAATGAAGAAGGAAAGACGCTTACATTTGGTAATTAGTCATGACGAAATTGGTTCAATCTGCATTATTCAGATATGCTTCAAAATTCAAAAATTATTTGGGAGGGGCCTACGCCCCCCCCCCCCGGTCGGAGGAGTCTAAATCCGCCTATGGTATGTGTGCAGAGCATTGAGGAGCATGATCCTTGAAATTGACAGACAAAGCAGCAAGGAGATAATGGGACGATGCAATTGGTTGAGGTGGATGGTTGGAACACGGACAAAGAGTTTAATAATCAACTAACGAAACCCCTAGAGGCACCCTATAGTTACTCTATCATTTTACCCTAAAGTCTATACAGCACCTACCCCTTTCAACCGACAGCGGGCTGATTATTAAAATTGATGGACTAAACGATAGACAAAGAAGACATAGGGAGTACGGAGCGATCCTTATATGGGTTGAAATAGGTATGGTTCCTACAGAACAGACTAAAAGAGTAAATAATGGACTAACTATCGGGTCCTTCGTGGGTTGCCGTTAGTTCGTCTATTGCCTACTTCCTTTGTTCATTGCAACCACCCGCTTCCACCAATAAAATCTCTCCATATCTCTTTTGTCTTCTTTGTCTATGGCATTGTCTATGAATTTTAATAATCAGCCCGGTGGATCGCTTTATATTCCCTTCTTCGTCTTTGTCTATCGCCTTGTTAATCGATTTCAATAATCAGCCCGCGAGGGGGTGGGGGGGGGTGGGGGTTGCCTCTGGTGCTGGGATTCGCTAGAGTCCCTTTATACTGAGAGTCAAGACAACACCCCTCATGGAGTCACAAACGGGAATAAAGATTACAGAAATTGAACGTTTTTCGTAATCTTTGATCGGCCCATTCTCGAATTCCTTTCTTCGTTCCTTCCCTCATTCCGTTTGTTCCTTGCCGAACCCGTAATTCCCCGGTCCATTCCAGTTTATAATCTTTGCAATCGGTGAAACTGTAATCTTTATTCCCGTTTGTGACACTGTGAAGGCCTAAAATACGGGAACCAATCAGAAATGGATTCACATTGTCTTGACTCTCAGTATAAAGGGACTCTAGGATTCGCATGAGTTTTCTCGCTACGGAGTGTGGGGAGGGGGAGGGGAGGGGGAGGGATGATCTTGGACCGAAGGAGTAATGAACGAGGATACATCGGGACCGCGTCTACATTCATTTCCATCACTTTTGAATATGCCCGCGCCGAAAAAGAGGGGCAGGGGGGGTGCAGCGGGGGGGCGGACCAAGGGGGAAGACTATAAATAGGCACGCGGTTGTGAACCGGGCTAAAAATAGCCCTCGGGTGGGGTGCGCGCGGAATCCAGAAAACCCGAGTCTCCAAGTACCAAGTTGCCGTATATCCACGAAAAAGAGGAAAAAAAGTCGCACACATACCTACACTGGAAAAAAAAACACATTGGATCTAGAGTCCAGACTCTTGAAAACATTGACAAGAAAAAGGACTCTGGATTCAAGCACACGAAAAAAAAAAATTGGTGATTCAACAATAGACGAATTTAGTGTGACGTCACATCTCGATTTAATTTCGATATCTCGAAAGTCGAAACGTGCCCCAACAAACGAACATATAGGAATCTGCGGGATTTAGGCAGGGCGGGGGGTAGGGGGATTAGCTTAATGACTGTCACTGATATTACGAGCTTATTATACAATCAATTCTTGTGATTGTGATCTCGAACGTTTCTGTAAATGGCTAGCTTTCATACTCTTAAAGTCCCATGGAGCAATTTTTTAGTTTCAGGCAGTTTCAGCACTATTTCGTCAATTGTTCATTTTGGAGGTTATGTTTGTTTGTTGGGGCACATTTCGACTTTCGAGATATCGAACCAACAATATCGCTCCGTGACGTCACCACTAAATTCGTCTATTCAATTGCTAAGAACAGTGAGTGCAATGTTTCAACACAGATTTTACAACAAAAAAATGCTACTTTAACCACCCCCGTGGTTAAATTAGTTTAGAATGTGGTTAAAGTAGCATTTTTTTGTTGTAAAATCTGCGTTGAAACATTGCACTCACTGTTTTTAGCAATTGAATTGTTGAATCAGCAATTTGTTTCCCTCGTGCAGATTTAAGCCTAAATCAAAAGGAAGTCCGCTCAAATTAAGAGGCTTGGTTCTTGATTTAAGCTTAAATCTGATTGAACCAAGAGCATTTTTTCTTGTCGATGTTCTTAAGAGTCTGGACTCTAGATCCAATGTGTTTTTTTTTCCAGTGTACTCCATGGAGGGAATCAGCGAAGAGCTTGTTTCGAAAAGTGCTCGATCCGAGGGAAGAAATGGACTACATTTTGGAATAAGGAACGGCTGTCAATGGCTCATCTGTGAAAAACACTTATTTTGCATACGGGAACTAATGGTACTAACAGGGGTCTACTTCTTTCCACTCCTCTACCACTTTCTCCCACGTAGTTCACGTAGTATTAATCACTTCGACTTCGAGAATAAATCCTTACAATGAATTACAATTTTTGGCCGTTCTGGCAAATTTACAGAGCAGAAGAGATGACTGTGGGATTTTCACGAACTTTAAGGTATAAAAACTTACATTGAAATTTGCAAAACCTGTGATCTATTTTCTTCTGTATTTTACATTTTTTTGAGCAGTAAATCATTGTAATCTCTTGTGAAGTTTTGACGATCTATTCCCTTGGTCAAACAGATGTATTTCACTCCAGGTACACAAAAAGTGTCCTTTTTATGACGCTACAATTGGACCGCGTTAAACAGAAAGGAACCAAGCCACATCAGCTACTGCCAAATTTAATTGGGCAATTTAATTTTTTACGCGAAAACGGTTCTGCGGATTTTCGTGCAAATTGCAGTGAAAATTCTCCATAGTTTGGAGCAAATTCCTTAAGAATTTCAAAGGAATTCGCACAAACGTTCTCTCGTAAAAAATTGTATTGCCCAGTTACATTTGGCAATAGCTGATGTGGCTTGGTTCTTTTCTGTTAAACTCAGTCCAATTAAGGCTTACTTGAGCTTGAGCCGCTCTCGATTACAGTGTAAACTATATAAGACTAAATTTTGCAATTGGGAACTACAATTTCTGACTGATCCGTAAAAACGCTTATATGTTATAGGAAAACTAAGGATACATACGTTTTTCTAAATTTAGTCAGAAGTTGCAGTTCCTAATTGCAAAATGTAGTCCGCAAAAGGACTATCCATAAGGAAAGAAGCTGTTTAAGGAAAAGTTGGACTAAATATTGCGATTCGGAACGACAAGTACATACTTGTAATACATCTAGCTCCTCTGTAAAACACGTATGTGCGGAAGGCAACTAATGGTGCATACGTTGTTTCTAAACTGAGCCAGAATTGTAGTTCCTAATTGCAAAATGTAGACCAATTATTGTGAATATGACCTGTCATTTTAAGGGTATTCAGAGTTGGATTACATTTTGCAATTAGGAACTACCATTTCAGGCTCATCCATGAAAGCATCTACCTGCATAGGGAACCTTATGGCATGCATGTTGTTTTTAAAATTAGCCAGAAGTTTTAGTTCCTAATTGCAAAAGTCCAGTTAATTTACGGGTAGACTACCACAATTTTACGCTCATTTGAAAACAAAGCATGTACCCATCGATATCTTATACAGATAGGTCCTTTTACAGATCAGCCAGATATTGTACTCTGTCTCATTGTAAAATGTAATCCACGTTGGAAATTGACATGAATATCTTGGCCGAACTCTATGTATAGCCTCAAGGTAGAGGCAATGGACTCGTGGATGCGAATTTAAGGGTTCGGATACAATGTGTCATAAGACTGAAATTTCACATAGAACACGATTTACGCGACAAAAAATTGCTGAAATCAAGTAAAAACTACGATAACAACATTTTTGGGTTGCGGGGTCATTTGAATCATCCCCGTTGATAAGAAAAACGAGGAGTCTGCTTGAATCAAATTGCGCACTACGACGCACAGTGGAACGAGTAAATCGGACATGAAATTTTTGACTAAAACTGCAAATTTTGGTGTTCATTTCGTCACATTTTATACTTCAAGGGGTGCAACATATAGACAATTTCACGAGAAAACCAATGAAACCACTTAAACCTCAAAGTTTTGTATAGACGGAGTTAGAAGCGTTTAAAGTTTCCAAATTTTGTCCGACCTCGCCTATTGATTCGATCCACTATGCGACGGTTCGGCAAGCCTCTTTTTCGAAGAATGTTCCCTCCCCGCCTTGTGTTGTTCAATGTTTTATCAACGTGCAACAGCTGAGCCAAGGAACTGGAATTCAGATCGCCAAATTTTCATACCACTGAGACTGTTACGGTAACGTTTAGTGCGCGATTTGACTCTCGGAAACTTTTGTTTTACTCATAATCGGGAGTTTTGAATTCACGCGTCGCGAAACATCGAATGAGCTCTGTTGCGCGAATCGTGTTTTCCGTGAAATTTTGGTTGAGAAACAAGTAGGTATGAGAAAGCTTGAATTCGTGCCCTGTCTAAAGACTGGTTCATTAGGACAGGGTTGCCACGGAATTTAGAAAATAAATTCCCTGACATTTCCCTGATTTTGATAACATTCCCTGAAAATTGAAAATATATACCAGATGGTTAAAAAGACATAATTCACAACGGTTTTCAGGCACAATTTGTTGTTCAAAACGTCAAACCCATTCTCGGAAGCAAATGAAGGTGACTTAACCATTTTTCAATTACACTTTCGTCATTGCCCCTGACATTTCCAGGTTTTCCTTGACTTTTTAAAATTCCTCGACGTTTCTAGGTTTTCCCGGACTCCCAAGTATCATTTTTCAACGGAAAAATCGGGATATATTGCAATTTTATCGACGATAAAATCGCTAGGATCATCAAAATCTCAGCAATTTATCCTCGATCTTATCGGGATTTTATCGCCAGGCAATTTATCGCGATAAATGGTCATTTAATCTCGATTTTATGGACGAAAATTAATCGCGATTTCATCGAACAAAAAATTGCGACGTGTAGCGATTTAATCGCCATATATGGCAATTTTTAATGCGATAGAATCTCGATATATTGCCACCGATATAATTGCGATAACCAACCGATAAAATCGCTATTTATCGCGATCACTGCTACTTGGGATGGCAACCCTGTTAGGACCGAGCCGCCAATGGACCACTAGACAAGGTACGAATTTCAGCATTCTGATACATGTTTCCTGACCAAAATTTCACCTAGAACACGATACGCACAACGAAAATTACCGAAATCAACTCCTTACGAAGATATTTAATGATTCTTGATGCGTGGATTCAAACCACCCGCTCATGAAAACTCAATGCTCTAAGTGATTCACATCGCGCGCTAAACGTTATCATCAACGTCTCAGCGATATAAAAATCTGGCAACCACTGTCCTGATGCTTTGGCTCAGCTATAGCAAATTGCTTATAGTTTGAACAACACATGGTAGGAAATGAACATTGCTCGATTGAGAAGCTTGCTGAAACCGTTGTAGTGCGCGATTTGACTCACGTAGAGCTTCGAGTTTCTTGTGAGCGGACAGTTCAAATTCCTCGTAACCAATGAGTAATAAAAACGTTATTATCTTCATCAGAAGTTTGCTTCATTAGTTTCCGTTGTGCGAATCGTGCTCTACATAAAATTCTGGTTAAGAAACATGTATCAGATCGTTTAAATTCGTACCTTGTCTGGTGGTCCATTACTCGCGAATGATTTTGGACGCGGAAAAACCCGTCGGTGAAAATTTCAAAATGTTGAATCTTGAGCCACTTTTCGAGTTGTGAAAAGTTGGTGGATCGCAATTCGGGAGAGGCGCGAGAGCGCACCAGAGGCAACGATAGGGGTCGATCGAATCGATAAAAATGTCAACAATTTTGCCGCTCGACATTCGGAATTCCCGACTTTAGCGTGCCCTTGACATAGGCTGCAGGGTCACGCGCTTGTCGCCGCGACCCCCTCCACCCCCCAGTTGTGGATAGCCCCTCGCCTCGGGGGACCGCTATTACTGCCATGATAGCGAAGAGAGCCGCAAGTGTAAAAATGAAGTTCTGAGAAAACGGGCTCAGAAGCTTCTGACAAGAACATTTTATTGAAAGAAGCCTCAGTTCTTTGTCAAATTGCTACTAATCGTCCGGAAGACTCCTAGAAATCGTATGGTTGATTAAAAATCGACTGATTTTATTTCCATTACATAAAAAGGGTATTTTTCATTTTCATGCTAGGTTATTGTTAGGCGAGACAGCCGTAAGTAGTCGTATTTTGTTCGCCACAACAATTGTTTCCTGTTACCGATTTTGTGTTATTTGCGTCACTTTTTCACAACCAACGAGAGCAAAGCAGCTAGAAGTGAGGTTAGAAATCTTGTTGACAAATGTACACAACAGTCGTAACAAAGCTCTGAGGACGTTCCGATTGTTTCGAAACAATGTCGCAAAACGTTGCCAAATTGTGCAAAATAATGAAACGAATAAAAATAGGCCACGCCCCTTAACATAAATAACATTCGAACAAAATACGACGGTTACGAGATGTTCCGAGTTGTTTCGTCGAACAAAATACGACTAGTGCTATCTTCTGCATGCTTTCGTGGTTGCGTTTTGGACGCACAACAAACACATTTTCAGGTTAGAAATTGGCAGAAGAGGGCGGCACCTTAATGGAAAGCACTGTTTTCATTGGCTCTCATGCACCTGCGGCTGTCTTGAAAAAAACTGTCATTTTTTGTGCACTTACGGCTTTCTCATACGTCTAGTCTCCATTAAATTAGGATGAATTTTGCTGTTTTAGCTGTCTCGGTAATTTCATGTAAAAGAGTTTAGACGAATTTTGAAGAAAACTCGATTTCGAAAATTTTGCACTTACGGCTCTCTTCGCTATCACGGCAGATTAGTTTCGCGCGGGGTGATTCGATCGAATTAACTTGATGATTTTTGACGTACATTTTAAATTTTGCTGCTCATTTTATCGTTTGGTGAGAGGAAATTTGAGTATTGGGTGGACGGCGTTATGCAAAGGAAGTACTGACATTGCTGCTTGCTTTGATTGTAAAGATAAGGAGTCCTGCGATGTCTGTCATCCAAATACAATAACATCAACAAAACTGATCAAAACCTAACCGAAGAAATTGCAACAAAATAAAATGAGATTCATTTGTGAATAACTTCTTTATCTATTTTCATTTTGGTGCGATGAAAATAACAATAGATTGGACTACATTTTGCAATTCGGAACTATAGATTCTAGCCCGGTTTATAAGTAACATATGTGCCATTAGTTTCCCTATGCAAAGAAGTGTTTTTTCAGAAGAGCCAGAATTTATAGTTCCAAATTGCAAAATGCAGTCCAATTGAAATAGCCTTCGTGCACGCTGGCCTTTTCGATTTCCGTTAACATTTTTGCAGTGGTGAATGCATAGCTGAAGTTCGCTCCAGCTAGAATTGTATTTAGCAAATTGGTGGTTTTTATACGAGGATGAAAAATAAACAAGTGGTAGGGAATAAAACAGAAAAATATGAACCATGCAATACGAAAATCGGGGTATCGGAACTTGGTTGTTTTGAAAACGCCTTCAATTGCGGCGTGATACCTCACGCATTCCGGAGAGTTCAAATAGTTGTATCATTGCGCCTTAGAAATGCGACGGAAGATTACAATATT